CAGCTTTTGGCAGCTGCAAGACAGTGTAGGGGCCCCCACCTTGGGCCTGATAAGAATGCACTCTTGGCCCGAATGGCCAGTAGCCATCCCGTGGATGCTCATGGCTTACAGCAAGAGAAGAGCCCTCCTTCTGGCTCAGGGACCCTCCTGCCCTGATCAGGCGCTGTTGGTCCCACAGTAGCAACCACCAGAAAAGACAACCTTGGTTTGCTGCCCAGGGCTATTATGTCACAGTTGATGACCCGCAAGTGTTCATAGGGTCTTGGCCAGAATGATCTGGCCAGAGTTACAATTTCAAGGGAGAAACATTTCATTGGTGGTTCTTTTTTCCAAACCCAAGCTAGCCAAAACTGAAATGGATTTTATTGCTCTTACAAGTGAATATTCCCTGGGTAGATATGGCTTTAGGCATAACATGATTCAAGTGATGTCAGGAGCCCTTGATGTCTTTCCTAAGCTATAAAAGAAAAATCAGGGTGCTGTTACTAAAGGAAAAAAAGTAACGTTGTGTTGCCACAAAATAATAAATGTCCACATCAGTTAGTATAATATACACAGTATGCCTGGATGGGATTATTTTTTTTCTTCTCTCTCCTTCTTTCTGGAAATTTCTGGTACTTCTCATGGTTAAAGCAATGAAGGAGAATGTTTGTAATGCAGCTTCAAGAAAGGATGGAGATGATGAGGTATACAAGGTAGTCTACCGGGAAGTTAACCTTTACAAGGCAAGATGTCAAATTGTTTCTTTAAAATCCACCCAGGTGGCGCGTGGGAGGCTCAGTGGGTTAAGCATCTGACTTCAGCTCAGGTCATGATCTCAGGGTTTGTGGGTTTGAGCCCCACGTCAGACTCTGTGCTGACAGCTCAGAAGCCTGAAGTCTGCTTCAGATTCTGTGTCTCCCTATCTCTCTGCCCTCCCCCGCTCACAGTCTGTCTCTGTCTCTCAAAAATGAATAAACATTATAATAAAATAATGAAATAATCCACCCAGAGCCCAGCCACTTACGGTGGTGTCTTTTCCACCTACTATCCTTACTTTCGTCCTCATGGTTTGAAGCTCCTTGCTTCCTAGGAGCAGAACTGGTAGGAAAGATAGTGACTACTGAGTCACAAAGAGGTGGTGTCAGGGTGGAGGAGAAGGAGATGAAAGGAAAGAGGGAGGTCTTGAAGTGGGAAACGGCTGTGAAGGAGAGGGTCTGCAGCTAAAGTCCTGGTTTTGTGGGGAAGTTCTATGAATCTCTAGTGAGAGAGATTCAGCTACAAAATGTATGGGGGCACATTACAGGGCTGGAACACTATCCAAAACTTAGCATCCTTTGGACTCAGCAGAGGTTAAAAAAATTATGAAACGCTCTTAGGGGTTCGTGTGTGTGTGTGTGTGTGTGTGTGTGTGTGTGTGTGTGTGTTGGCCTCATTTAAGGAGGTAAGAGCAACAAGTGCCTGAATCTCCCCCACCCCCACCCCCAAGGAAGCTGGGAAGTGAGCAGAGCCCAATGGATGGACCGAACAGCTGATCAGTTTCTCTTTTCTTTGTAAATGATTGTCCTCCTCTCTCCTTCAAGACCAGAGTTTCATATACAGTCACTCAGTGGCTGTCCTGTGAAGGATTAATGTCTCCCTAGAAAGACATTGTACCTGAGTTGTTACACTCATAGCCTTGGGGTCAGACAGAGCTCAGCTTGGTTCCCTTGTCCAGCACACACTACTCATGTGACCTGTATTACTGCCATGACCTCCAGCACGTTATTTCTCCTCACACGTAGTAAGCTCTCCTCACACATGGACAATGGTGATGCAGATTCCTATTATTTTTGCTGAGTTTACTCGTGTGGGATTTTGGGAACTTGGGTCTGAGGGTCAAGTTTTTTTCTTTGAAAAAACAAAAGACTTACTGAAATAGAGACTTAAATATTCAGGATAAGAGCCCCAGCTTTGCTATTGCTTGAGTAAGAGCGCAAGAATCACCTCACTGGGCTGTGCTTTGCTCTCTGTAACTGCACGGTGTGTCTGTTTGGGGGGGGGGGGCGGGTAGGAGTGATCAAAACAAGTGATGCTCCCCCATCTCTCAGGATTGTGTTAGAACCTGGGTGGGCTGTAGCTTTGTTAATTCTTGCTGGGAATAATGGGTGGGATAGTGTGTCAGAGGACAGGGTCTGGAGGGGGGGAAAGAGGGGAGAAGAGACGTTTCCAACCCCCAGGTGTTGCGAGTAACATCACCTCCGCTTCTCCTCTCCTTAGGTGGTTCAGGGCAAGAGGTGAGGCAGCACGTGCTGCCATAACATCTCAGCCTCCATGTAAGAGACCTCTCTCCCAGCCTCTGTGTTTTTCTTCAGGACCTGAGACCTGCCACACCGGTGAGATTCTCTCCTAAGCCCCACTCAGAACTTTGTGCAAGCAAAGGTATTTAAATTCATCTGTTCTGATTCAGAGCCGTGAAAAATCATTTTGTGTGCTGAGATCAGAGAGGGAAGAAAAACTTTGTGCATTGTTTCTTTTCGATCTATGGAGTCATGAGATGGCTTCTATAATTCTAGAAATTGTGACAAGGCATCCATAAAGATGAGGCAGAATCCCCAGGCAGCAGTTACCGTAGCTTAAAGCAACATTATTTACTCTCCATTCATGGAAGTGTGGCAGCATTTAAGGACTTTATTTAATTCCTTCGTCACATGAGCAGATGAGCAATCTGCAAGCCGGGCAAGTGGAGGCCAGGAACCTCCAGCGCCTCCCTGAGACTGAGGCTCAGGTATGCCTGGCTGTTCGGGCTTTGTCCACAGTTACTTTGTGCACTTACGAAGAGTGAGTGAGTCCACTTAATTTACATTTAAAGCTCTTTCAGCGTAAAGCCAGATTCCTACAAAAATGTTCTGACTTAATTCAACTCCATTCCTTTCAATTAATTCATTTAAAAGAACATATGTTGAGCAACAGTTGGTATCATGTATAAAAATGAACTGGGCCAATGCTCTGTGCAAAGCTAAGCGGATATCGGCAATTGCTACGTGACCCACTGTTAACAGTGGGGTGAAGGCAGCACTGGAATTCACAGAGGCCTGAGCTCTTTCACTGACCAGATGTGGCCAGTTCGTTTCCGTTTTCCTTGTTTTCCTTCTCAGCTCCTTCCTTTGCCTGATAACTGACACACTCATTTATTCAGCCAATATTAAGGACCTGAGTGTAGGCCCAGCAGAGAGGCAGCTCGGGGAGGAAAGCTGATTGTTCTCCTCCGTCTGCAGAGCTTATCTGATAACATCAAGGAGCCCAGCTAGAGAGCCCGGTGGTGGGTTGTGAACACAGGCAAGCTGACAGCTCCCTCAGCTCCAGTTCCTCATCTTCACGTGGAAATAATCATCATATATACTTCACATGGTGGTGAGGACTGGAGGAACTCACGTGTATCAAAGATTCAGTGTATTTTTCTGGCACACAGCAGGGGCCAAAGAGTTGCTCTCTGTCATCACCACCATTGTGGCCTATTTTAGATTAGAAATTCCTAGAGATCAATGACATTTACATTTTATGGATGATGAACAGCTTCCAACACCTGTTAACAAGCAATTTGTATCAATAAGTACCAAATACTAAAGAATAAAATACTAATAAAAATGCTAAAAGTTAAGTGTTTTAGATCTCTGCCCCAAGCCTCTGCCTGTAAGGAAGACCGTATGTGGTTAGCTTCATCCGTATCATCCTTCACAGCAGCAAGCTGGGCATGGTAAACAGGAGAAAGAAGGAAGGAAGAAGCTACGAGGGGCTGCATGGTAAGGAGCACAGACAGAGCCAGCCTCGAGAGAGCCCAGGGAGGGTTCTGCACACCTGGTTTGGGAAGGAACATGGAGGAAACCCTGACCTTGAAGAAGGAGAGGAAAAGACTGGGGCATAGCCCCCTTGTGTTAGGCAGGAGGGGAGAGACGGAATGAGAGAGAGAAGAGGAGGGAGTGAAGAAAGCCTGGAGGGCAGCACTGGCTTCCTGGGCCTGCAAGGGTGAGTCACGCAAGGCCCTGGGCTCAGAAGGGCCCCACACTCTGTTCACGCTCTCCTGTCAGCCTCTGAAAACTCTTGATAGTGTTTGCACAAGGGATCCCACATTTTCACTTTGCACTGGGCACGACAAATTAGCTGGTTCTGCCTCCGGGAGATATTGGTGGAAGTTTTCCTGTGCGAGGTGAGAATAATCTCTTTTCAGTGTCTTCTTGAGATTTGAAGATCTTTCAGTTATTTTGAGGGGGGGCAGTATTCAGTTGTGGATCCTTTGACCGAAACTCTAGATTGGGCTGGGCGTCAAGGTGGTTCAGCTTTGTCCAAAACAGAAGAGCTGCTCTCCTCCACCCTGTGGTAGGAGTCCTCGGCACCTGCCCAGCCCAGTTCCTGTGCAAAACCCACGGGAAGTTTGCAGGCAACCTCCACAGGGTGCTCGCTGCATCAGGCTCGCTGCGTCATGCCCTTCCTCTGGCGAAATGTTTCATGCTGAGAGAAAAAGCTCCAGGCGTTCCTTGGTGATAGTGGTAGTGGGGGTTAAGTAAAGAAAACAGTACTCCTTGAAATGGTGTGCAGGACATGGAGAACTTCTCGCCAAAGAGAGGTTCATACTTGGGAAGCCACGCACTTCCGCTTCTGGTTGGGTTTTGTGCACAGCCGCTTTTTCTTCCTGCCGCTTACATTCCGCCAGAAAGGCACCGTGTAGAGAGGATGAAGCACTGTGAGTTCAGCCCATTATCAAATGGTTTCAAGGGTCATTTTGATCTTGTCAGGATCAGCAGGCTTCCTTTCAGCGGACCTAAAAAGGCTGACAGAAACAATAAATGGGCAATTTTGAAACTCTTTGTCAGAGTTGTACTTTGGGGACAAACTCTGCCATAAATACTGATTTCTAGTCCCCCCTCCATGTACCCACCATTTTCAGATATGATGCCCCCCCCATCCCTGACCACCACATAGTCATCAACTTATCTTGCCAACATTGTGGCAGTGAGTGATGTGCGGCTGCTTGCCTATCTGCTCTGTAGTACTTACACTACAAGGAACCAAACATGATGTATACCTCACGGCGTACATTCGTCTCTAATTTAGTGCCCACATATCTGTAATAGTTGTATTGAACTGAAGCTGAGAAAAATCACCCTTGCCACCCTCCATTTTTAGGGAGTCTGTGATAGGTTGGAGGATTACCCTATCGATCACTAGTCAGGAATGATTACCTCTCACCCTCCTCTGCCTCATCAATAAATGGCCCCAAATTTCAATTCCAGGAGACACATTCAAAACAGGAATGTCTGGAGCTGTGAACAGAATTATAAATACAACAGAATCTAAAAGAAAGCATTCATACCCAACAGACAGATTATAGGATATGCCACACCCTGTAAAGGATTTAGACTTTTAAGAGTATTAACACTTTTTCCATGGAAGATTGTTCCTTTCATGGAAATTATAATTCCTGTTATTTCTTGATACTGACAATGAAAATTACATATATTTTCTTCAGACTAAGAAAATACATATATTTCCTTAGTATTTTAACTAAGTAGTGAAATAAGGCAGCAAGTAGTTCTAAATGGGCTTCAAAGAGACTTTTTAGATCTGGATGTCTTTACGAAGAGATTCTTGGTGCTTTGTTTAAAATGCCCCAACTCTAGAGCTGAACCTGGTCCAGATGGCCTGAAATACCATCAACCCCTTAATAGCAAGGCCAATTTGGCATGAAAAACTGGTAGTAAAGAACACTTTAAAAAACAGTAAAAATCTATACTACAGGTATTATAGCAAGACCAACAGATGTGAAATTAAGGGGGAAGGAGGCAGAAAATCCATGCAACATGGATGCTTCTCATCTGAACTAAAGACACTGGTATGAGTCAGTGTTTTTAAGCTGTGTTTGGTAGATTGCTGGCTTCACAGAATCTTAATATGAATTATGTTAAAAATAATGAAAAGAGCTCTGTAGTAAGATAAAGTAAGAGTCTCTGAGCTAACAAAGCCAAAAAGATTGTCTTATTGTAGGAATTCTCGATGTTTTTAATTTGCTAAACGGTCTCGTCAATATACAAGGGTGAAGGGCGAACATAATACAGAACACTTCCCAAACTTGTTGCAACTTAGAAAGATTTCCTGAGAAACATTTCAAGGGATTCGAGTTTCGGGACCCTTGGGGGAAGCTTCTGTCTTGGTTCTGGGGGAATGTTTGGAGGCATCAGTGGTGAGCCAGGCAGTGTGTGGCCCACAGCATCGTGGCTGCATTGAAGCGCTCAGTGGTCTAGGACCCAAGGCCATCTGGGCTGGCACTGGGGGAAACCATCACTTTCCCCTTTCCTCCTGAGGCTCCTTTATGAAGTTCAGAAATCAATCCACAGTGATTCAGCAGGAGGAAGCATAGGCTACAGCTCCAAAATATCAGGTTAATTTGTTTGTGTTCTTTGAAGTTTGAGATCTTTGAAGTTCTGTTTTCCCTTGAGAGGTGAAGATGAGAAAAACAAATGTCAAATGTCTTCATACGCTGTGAAAAGAAAGTGCAATTAACAACCAGTGTTCCCCAAATGCCTTAGCTAGGGTGCTGGGGCAGAAGTGTCTACAAACTTGGACTCCGCCGGGGTTTTCCTGGGGCGATATGCCCCTGGGATCCAGGAATGCTAGAATCCTGCTTTGCCAGTCACTTTCCCCCTGCCCTCCCCTGTGAGGTTCTGGAAAGGATTATTTACCCAAGGAACAAGAACATGCTCGAAGCTATCACTTTATCTATAGCTGTTTGACTGTTGAGCTCTGACAAAGACTTTGGATCCAAGTGGGACCTTGTGGTTCTATTTTTCCTTCACAACTTTAAATCCCAGTATCTACTGTTGTCCCACTACCAGGAACAGAAGTTGAGGAGGAAGGGGCAGCAAAATGGCTAGAGAATAAGCCTGAGTCAGTGTACCCACCAGCTGCCAGCCTGGAGAAGAAGGAAAAGCAAGAGGGAAGGTTGACAGGTCAGCATCAAGCCTCTAAAAAATAGGCCCTGACAACAAGCCTAGTTCCATCAGATGAAATAACTAAGAGGTGGGTTGTCTTAGTCTGTTTTGGCTGCTCTAACATAATACTACACCTTGGGTAGCTTTAAACAACAAAAAAATCTATTTCTCACAGTTCTAAGTGCTGGAAATCTGAGTTCAGGGTTCCTGCATGGTTGATTCTGATAAGAGTCCTCCTCTGGGTCACAGACTGCTGACTTCTTGCTGTGTCCTCATGTGGAGGAAGAAGCAAGGAAACTCTCTTGGGTCTTTTTTATAAGGGCACTAGTCTCATTCCTAAGGACTCTGCCCTTATGACCTAATCCCCTCCCAAAAGCCCTGCCTCCTAATACCATCACTCTGGGGATTAGGGTTCGAACATATGAATTTAGGAGGGAGGGGGGCACAATCATTCAAAAATCATTCAAACCATACCACATTTGGTCCTGTGATGATGAAGAGGGAGAGGATTGGGAGTTGGCAGATTTTGCCCTGGTCATTGCCTGCTTGCTTGGATAAGTCGAGGCCTGACTCCAGAGCTGACTTCTCCTTTTCATGCAAGCCCCTGAAGCCCCAGCAGGGCCAAGCCACATTCGAACAGTGACCACTACTGCTCACGTTGATCACTAGCCCCATTTGTCTGGAAGAAGGGTCCCTGCATCAAGACTGGGAGATGAGAGGAGATGGGGCTGGGGCCACTCACATCTTCTTTGATTACTGAATGAACCCACATAGATATGCCTCCTGTCCTTTAAAAGGAACTGCATATGCAATTTGATTGAGCCCCATCAAAGGGTCAGAGATTAGCATGAGCCATTTTCCCCACTCCTTTCCTTCTCTGGCTAACTCGAACCCCATCTGGAAGAGCTGGTTTTCTATTTCTGAGCCTGGTTTGATTCTTTTCCCAACCCTGGGATCATAGACTCTGTACTGAATAGCATTCTAAAAGGTCAGCTGACCTATATATGCATCCTCAGGCACCTTGAGAATTCCCCAGAGATACAGACCTCTTCTATTTTTTGAAAAAAATCCTGTTAAGAAATACTTTTTTCAAAAAAAATTTTTATTTTATTTTTGAGAGAGAGACGGAGAGAGAGGCAGAGCATGAGCAGGGTAGGGGCAGAGAAAGAGGGAGATACAGAACCCAAAGCAGGCTCCAGGTTCTGAGCTGTCACCACACAGCCTGACATGGAGATCGAACCCACAAACCATGAAATCATGACCTGACTTGAAGTCGGACACATAACTGATTGAGCCACCTAGGCGCCCCAAGAAATACTTTCTTTTATCTAACCTCCTGCTTTTGCATTGCTCTTTGTGGAGACAGAAAACGCCTGGGTATATCTGCAGTTAAGCCTTCTGTATTCTTAAGGATTCTTGGTCTTACTTTCTGTGGGCTAAAAAATCCAGTCTTAACCTCTTTTTCCAAGTCTTATTTTCCTTCCTTTTCACCATATTGTAAGTGTTCCAAGAAAAAATTCCCTCAAATTTGTTAGAATCATCTGGAGACCTTTTTAAACATACCAAATCACACATCACTCTCCAGACTTCCTGAATAAGAATTACAGGGGCAGGAGTGGTTTGGGGTTTGGGAAGGGCTTGCCATTCTGAAACAGGACCAATAAATTACTGGGATCGTTTTGAAGTGCATACCTAGCTTAGAGTTCTCCCTTTCTTAGGGGATGGTGGCGACCCTGCCCTTCAGAGGTGGGTCTCTGGCATCTAGGTTAGCACGAACATCAGGGATGCAGGGACATCTCATCCAGACAATGCCAAACAGAGTCTTTCTCCCAGAATTTGGAAATGGAACTTAGAGACAGGAGGTCAGTTTCTGAGGGTGACTAGAAGTATGACATGACAAAAATGGAGACACCAAATTATGACATGAAGATAGGGAGCAGCAGAGAGAGATGGTGCACAGGGAGGAGGTAAAGAAGAAAGCAAAACATTGTAATGACCCTTTAGGCTCTGGTTCCAGTCTCCGATTTTGTGCCCTGGAGTTCCATGAGACAGAGATGTCCTATGCAATGAAATTCTCTCTTTGCCTACCCTTGTTAAAACAGATTTTCATTACCAGACACCCAAAAGGGCCCCACCAAATACAGAACTGACAGCAGAACTGGGAGAGGTGATAAGCTCACAGCCTATGTCTTCTCTTCCTGTTGACTCACTATGGAAGTCTATTTTGCTTTCTTGAGAGGAAACATGTCTCCTTGACTTCTAAAGAATATTTAATTTTCTGCCTAGACAATTTTAACACACCTCAAATGCTGAATGACCTGCCATGGAAAAGCTTCCAAACTGTCCTCATAGAAGAAAATAAACCTTGCTAGTTTTTACTAATGGATGCATTCAACCAACAGCATGTAAAGTCAGTACTATTATTGGCCCATTTTACATGTGAGGAAACTAAGGCATAGGAAAGGTAAATAACTTTCCTTAGGTGACAGAGCTGGTAAACTGTTGAGCCAAGACTTGAAGCCAGATTTAACTACAGAGTCCAAGATTCCAGCCACTTTGCTATACCTGCATTGAAACCAAAATTCAATGGTTGAAAGCAAAACTCTTAATGCTACCTAGGAAGTAATGTGCAAATACTCATTTCTTTATCAAGAGAGCTGTCCAGTTTGGACTCTACAGCAAATAGCAAGCAAGGTGGATTAGAGGCAGTTTTCATAGATGAGTCAGGACTTGACCTGAGGTCAGAGAGAGGTAGAGAAGGAGGATGTTGCCATCTTGTCACCCATTTCCTCCTCTAAACAGATCTCTTATTTTCTTCAGATATCCACTCTGTCCCAAAGTGGCCTATGTGCTAGGGGAGGCTGGCTTCCAGGAAAAGACTTTATTTTTCTAAACCCACCCCCCTTACCAGTAGTTGAGCATGTGACCCAACTTGGACCAATGAGATGCAAGGAGACACTTTCTGGGGAGCTTAAGAGACAGCTTGGTTTTAAAGACAGAGCTGGAGCCACCAGATCAAATCAACCCCAAGTTCTAGCTGACATCCAGACTTTAAGTAATGTTTGTCAGGTTTGACACTATTTTAAGCAAGTTTGAGGTAGATTTTCTGGTACTTGTATAGAAACACTTCCAATTCAGAATTTTCTTTGGAACATTTAGGAACAGAAGCCCAGAGATGTGAATAAACAGCACATTGGTTAAAAAAAATAATAATAATAACAATGCAGAGCCTAGAGAGATAACATTTCGTTTTCCCCCAAGTGCTTTGTCCTTGGAAACCCAACCATTCCATCCTTTTATTGCCCACTCACTTTTCAGCAGATGTATTTCTTCTTCATTTTGTGTAATTCGATTCATTCTCAGATGTTTGTTCATCTGACCTTCCAGTTGGTATGGTAACAGCCTGCCTGAACTGTGGCGTTTATCATTCACTGCAAGTTCTTGTCAAATCAGTAAGAATTAGGTTTGCCTTCTTTCAAGTAGTCCAGGGGACTAAGTCATTAAGGAGGAAAGGTGGCCCTGTCCCCCCACAAGGGTCAATGCTTGAAATTCTCCTGTTAAAACTCCACCACTTTCCTGTGCTCACATTGATTGAGGTGGTTCCTTCCTTTCTGTGGAGCTCTTGTGTCATAGCCATAGAAGGCAACATTTATTTCCACTCTCCACCCCTGTCATGTTACATTAATAACAGGACACAAATTGAGTGGGCAGTTAGTCGATGGATTTGTAAAAGCCACATTAAAAAATACTGGGAAGGAATAAAGGGTAATATCTCAGAATAAGAATCAATCATTTAAAATAATATGTACAAAGGTTAACTATGCACTTATAACTCAATTAAAAAGTTCTTGACACCCTGGAGGGTAAAACATTGAGTAGGAGCATGGCTTAAATCCACTGGACACCTACTGCGTGCTGGGCACTATATGAAGCCCGTCAGGCATGTTACTTCATTCAATCTTCACAATGACCCTAGGAAATAGCTATGATTCTCTCCATTTTAGGGAGAAAATGACTAACTTTTCCAAGGTCTCACAGCTGACATCTGGGGGTGGGGTTTAGGATTTGAATGGGGACTTATAGGACCATTTTATTTGCACTACACTGTGCTTCCTTGAACAAAAGCACAGTGATTATGGGGGCAGACTTGCCTATGAGAATGGTAAAATCTGGCCCTGCCATCCATTCATTGTATGTCTTTTGCCAAATTACCTAACCTTTCTGTGCATCTGTTTCCCCATTTATAGAATAAGGATAATCCTAGTAGTAGCCTCTAGTGCAGTCCTCAGAATTAAATGAGTGTACATAAAACACTTTGCACAATGCATAAGCATAATAAACTCTCAAATGACGGCTGTTTTTAATAATATAGTGACTGCCTGGTAAGTGCTGTCCACTAGTACTTTCTGTGATGATGGAAATGTTCTAGATATGCATTGTTTAATGCTGCAGTCTCTAGCCTCATGTGACTTTTGAGAACTTAAAATGTAGCTAGTGTAACTGAGGAACAGAATCTTTTATTACATTTCATTTTAATTAATTACAGTTTACATTTAAACAGCCACATGTGCCTAGTGGCTTCCATATTGCACAGCACAGGTATAGAATGTGCCAGATACAGTATGTATGAAAAAGAATAAGATGGGATTCCTGTGGTTTAATGGAGGAACAAGCTGACAAGCAGATGATTAGTAGGCATGGTGATAAGTACTGTAGAGCAGCAGCCATAGACAAAATGCTATGGAGATACCAAGAGCAAGGGACTAATTTGTGCCTGGGGATCAGGGAGAGATTGTGAGAGGCAATGATGGTTGAGCTAGGCTTTGAAGGGTGAGTAAAGATTCACTTTATTCATTCAGCAGATATGTGCTGACAGCCTCCTCTGGGCCAAGCACCAGGTTTGAGAGACTGTACAACTGTCAAATGAGAGGTAAAGGTAAGGGTACAAAGGAGACAACTGTGTGGGTTAGACTCTTTGAGGAGGTCTTGAACTTGACCTTCTACCTCAAGGTAGAACTTGAACCATCCCTTGAATCACAGATAGGATTTGGATGATGCCGGGAGCTAAGGGAGCGCATCCCAGGTAAGAAGAACAGCATGAGTACAGAGGGGACGGTGGGGCGAGTACCACCACTAGAGCAGCCTAACTGAGAGAACACGACTGGAGGGCAGCTATGGTGAGGTCCTATGGGGGATGCGGGATAAGCGGGGCAGGATATGAAGTGGGCTATGAATGGTGGTTGATGAGCTCTTACCTTTATGCCACTGGAGATTTGGGAGTCACATGTGATAAGTCGTATGAAGTTGTCTGACAGATGGACTCCAAGCGCTTCTGAAAAACAGAGGCAGAAGCTTCATTTGGGAAGTTCCCCCACCTGCTCACAACCGCCACCCCCAGAAAGGCGGTGTTCAGTTTCATGGTATTCTGGCTGCCTGCATCCATTCCCTTCCATTGCCTCCCTCGTCTCCCCCCATGTCCCTTTTGGGGGGTGGGGGGTTCTGGGCCAAGTGGTCTCTCCAGGGTGTACTTCCATCTGCAGGGAGAATCAGGCACTGCCCCTGGACTTGAGCATTTGGTGTCCTGGAGGGGACAGTGGGAGGTCAGAACATTGCTGTTTTGCATCGTGGCAAGAGCAGTAATGCACAGGCAGCATGTCCTCACTACACAGTGGCAGCAGGGCTGCGGCCCTGGCTGTTCTGGGTCTGACTCTCCAGCTTCCTGCAATTCCTGCAAAGCTTCTGCAACACTTCCACTGAGTCTCTTTTCACTTCAGATTGTCAGAATCAGGGTAGGTTGCTTAAGGCCAAGAACCTTGGTTGACCCATTTTAATAATAATGCAAACTCCTGCAAGTGGAAATGCTTGGTAGTGGCCCCTGCTCTGCCCTAACCTGTCACCTCCGGAAAGTCCTCCACCCCTGGGCCTCATTCTCTTGTCTCCCTAACGAGGGACCCACACTGGTACTTCTGTTTAATTTTTTAATTTAATTTTTAGGTTTTTTTTTTTAATTTACATCTAAATTAGTTAGCATCTAGTGCAACAATGATTTCAGGAGTAGATTCCTTAGTGCCCCTTACCCATTTAGCCCATCCCCCCTCCTACACCCCCTCCAGTAACCCTCTGTTTGTTCTCCAT